AATGGATTACAAACATGTAGGCATACAAATTTTCCAAAAATTGAATATAATATTTTTAAACAAAGATGGATGGGTTATGGAATAACTCTCAATAATATTTCTATTAATAAAATGCTCCATTAGATCTATACTTGAAGATTTTAAAATCTAAATTTCAAGACCTGCTTTGATACCACTTAAAAGTTCAAGAAGGTTATGAGACATCAATAAATTAGCCTGAGGCGCACCAAGAGGGAGGGGTGAATTGATAATTTAAAAGTTAAGTACTAAACAAAAATACTATAAAAATAATTTGTAAACTAAATCTAGGTAGATAACTTAAAATTGTGTGAAAGCAATTAACAATTTTAAATGAGATTATATATATATATATATATATATAATACTTAAAATTGTGTGAAAGCATTTATTTTCTTTCTTTTAATACATGCAAATTTTCTTATTGCAAGCCATAATCCAACGTAAGTGCAGTTAATCATAAATATTGAAATCAGCAAATTCAACTCACAAATAATAATAAAAATTGAAGAAAAAAAAATAAATGCAAAAAAGGAAAAAAGCACACTACAATATTTTATAGTGGTTCGGTTAACCTTGACCTACGTCCACTCCCCGAAATCCTCCATTCTAAGTATTACACTATCACTATAATGTCTCTCATTTTGCCCATGCATTAATATAGGGAAGCCCTTACACAAATCCCTTCCACCAAGCTCAGTACATGCGGAGAGCCAGAAGCTTTATCACCCACTAGGCATCAACAGTAGACCTTCAATATTTTTTTCCACCTAGAGAAGGCAAAGTATCTTGAACTTCTTTCTCACCCTCCTGGTGATAACAAAGAATAACGTCCTTGAGCTTAAGAATTTCTCCCCAAAGCCACCCGTGAAACTTAGACAAACACTTAAAGGAACAAGGAAAGACACTTGCTTGGAGTAACCATGTGATCCCATCACACTACTTCTCTATCAAACATAAGCACTCCCTCTTCTTCACAAAGCTTTCCTAGATCTTCTTCTCAAAGCTCTCTCTCAAGTATACTCAGTAGCAAAAAACTTTGAAACAAGTCAATGAGAGAGATTTAAATATAAGGCCTCACAAAAAGTCCTAAATTCAATTCCGACGACTCTGAACATATACTATAATCTTGGATCATATAGTATAATTAGTTCAAATTACTCTTATTAGTACTATATGAAGAGATAGGTGTTGTACGATCAATTCAAGGAATTGAGTTGATCGTTTAGGACGATTTAGATCATCGTCCAATACGATTAGCTCAAACGATTTGGATTATCATCTAGTACGATTGGTGATGATTTAATTATAGTCCCATGTAGGAATCGGGTCATACAGTATGATTGGTCAAATCGTCTTATACGATCTGATTGGATCAATCAAATCCAAATTTATTTCCTCATAGGATTAATTTAGATAATATTTAATTATGTCATATAATATGATACATATCGTCCAGCACAATGAGTACAAAATTTGAATTTCAAAACATTCCCCAAATTTTTATTGGCAGCTTGGATCCTTATTTTCAACGAATCGTCCTGTATGATATACATCATATAGTACGATTAGTTCATCTTGTATTAATTATCACAATTAGTCATTCTAATCTTTTTTTAATTAGCTGATTGTGCAAAACAATATAAGTCATACAGTACGATTAGTTCAGAAAATCTAACTTCTAATATTGTCACTAACTAACTGCCTTGAGTGTGTGTGTGTGTCCATGGTTATCAAGCTTGGTATCCACCAAATATATGACTTGACTAAAAAAAAATACATAAGAATTGAAAATACAAACTCTTCACGACATACTTAACCCTAGTCTACCCAATCTTGAGCTGATCAAACTTGCAAGTGTACAGTGGACCTGAAATGTTAGTGCATAGGAAAAATAGATAGGCAATAATAGCAATTAACATGAGATAGCATAGTAAAAAATCCAGTAATATTTATTATCATCAAAACCATAGGACTTGGGTCCAAATTTACAATATTTTTTGCTCTAAAAAACTTTTTGTACTTGGAAGTTGATTTTTACAACAACTTTAAAAATTTATTTTCTTTACAGCAGCTTTACAAAGTAGTAAAAATATTATTCCAAATGAAGCTAAAAATGCCCTTATTAATTTAATGTTTGAAGCTGAAAGAGTACATAAAGATAAAAGTAGAAAAAAAGATGCCAAGATCAAACCACAAATCAGAAGTTCTCTTATTGAATACTAAATCACTAAGGCTTGGCCTCAGACAGCTTTCTTACTGCTTTCTATAACAACTTTTTATTATAAAAGTTTTTAAACTAATTTTTTTTTACTAGAAAGCTGCTTTAAAAAATAGTAAGAAAGCTGTCCCAAAAAAAGCCTAATTCAAAATTCTTAAGCACCATTATGCTAAAAATATTATTATAATATAAGTTTACCTTGTGTCAAACCATATTTTGCATGAATATTATCGAGCTTTTAAATGTTTAAAAATGTTCACATTGAGATACCAACTCATAATTTGACTTGAAGTTGATAAAGTAAATTAATTTGATTAAAATATTATGGAAATTTTAAGCAAAAACAAATCAATAAATTACAAGAGTAGACATTCCACATTATTATATTTATATATCTAAAACTTGAATTTTTATATTTATTCATATAATAATTTTGTGTCTAAATTTTATATATATATATATATATATATATATAATCACATGTCTTTTTAGGTATTCAACTAGTAGTCTGTGGATTATAGCAAATGAATTTGTATCTAATGGAACCACAAGGGAACTTGCTCGAGAATCATCAAGATCTAACTCGACAAGATATTCTAAGAGGAATCTCTCCTCGCAAGGATAATTAAGGATCCTTGTGGACTACTCAGCTCGTCACTCGTCATCCAGCAAGGAGAGGCCACAAAGCTGCATGATGATATCTATGATCAGGGGCGGAGTCAGAATATTTTCATGTGGGGCACAAATATTGAATTTAAAAAAATCCTCAACCTTTTCTTCCGGGCTTAGGGTCGGCATAAATGATTTTAATTTTTTTTAAATCATTAGACTCAACATAAAATGATAGAATATATGATAAAAGAAAAAACTTATAATTGAGAACTTTAAATCATGATACTCTTCTTATATATTATCTATAATTTCTCATGCCGAGTCTTCATTTAAGTTGAATGAAAATATAATAAGCAAATTTATAATATTGAAAGACATAATAAATTTTCAAAAATAACATAAAGTCTTAACTTGTATTGAAAAATATCCTAACTCCGCTATTGATCTTAACTTACTTGTCTCAAAACTTTTAAATATTATTTGGAATTTATACAACTCTAATTTATTTAAGCAATCACATTGTGATAATCTGACAAAATAATTTACAAATAATGAAAAAGTTATGTTAACAACACTTTTAGTTACAAATTAAATAAAGAATAATTGTTTAATTTCTTTTAATATTAGTAAACCTTTAAAAAAATTCTTAAGTTTAACTTTTTATTTTAGATATATCAAAATTAGATCGCATATGAAAGCTATCTAAACCTTTTTGAACTAATGATTCACTATATTGTATCAAACAAACAAAAATATGCCTTCTAATGCTATCGCACATCCATTCCAACCCGTCCCCAACAACTTTTTAATTTATTTTAATATTATTAAACCTGGGTAATAATTTTTTATAGATAAAAAATTAAACATGTAATTTAAAAATTGTTGATGAGCAAAAAATCAAATGGTTGTAGCCATTCATTTTTTTTGGAAATAGGTAAACGACAGAGAAAATAGAAGGTTTTTTTTTTTGGAAAAATAGCATAATATTCTTCTTTTGAAGAGAGAGAGAGTTTTGATTGAAAAAAGTGAGGTTTGAATTTTCTTCCATTTAAAGAGTAGCACAGGTGGGCGTAAGAAACCAGTAGCTTTTCCTATTTAACCAAGGATTATCACAAGTGGTTTTTTTTTTGGAAATAGTAACTAGTCTTAGGCTTCGTTTGGGACGGCTTTTTTATTGCTTTCTAAAATGGAGTTTTAGTACAAATTTTTTTAATTTTGTACTAAAACTCCGTTTTAGAAAGCAATAAAAAAGCCGTCCCAAACGAAGCCTAAGACTAGTTACTATTTCCAAAAAAAAACCCATGCCCCTAGGGCCCCCATGCTAAATCCCCCTATGTCTACGACACATAATCACCAATCATGTTCATCGCCTCAGCTTAAGGAAAGTGTATGTTCAAGATGGTTCCAACTCGCTCATCATAGGTAGCTGACCATGGTGCCTACCAGCCTACCATTCCCCACAACACAAGCTCACTCGTCTCCCACTCCTAATCTATTAGGAGCTTTAGGATAGGTTTTTATTGACTTTGGGACGTTTGCCAACCACTACTTTCCTTTCTTTGGACTTGTTACTAAACTCACCTACACATACTTGCCCTTAAGCACTCTGCACTACATAACTCACTCGAGACAAAGAAACAAGATCAAGAGAAGCAATCATTCATCAAGTTAGCCATAGTGTGACACATGTATAATGCAGTCTGTATTAAGAGCTCTTAATTTCTGTACTTTTAATTGATGTGACCACGTTGCCCTGTGATCTTAGAGGTGATTAAGTACATTTTGTACTTTTAAACATTATATATATATGAACTACTAATTTATTTTCTATGGAGTTTGTTCTTTCTATTTTCACAAGTTCTCAGGAAAAATTAATTTGAATATAACAAATTTCATAATTAAATTGTTATACATATAAATTTGAAAGTTTATGCATGGGGCATATAAATTATTAAAATCTCATAAGTTCTCCTAGTTATCCTAGTTATGAAAGCAGAATTTTTTTTTTTTTGGAAAAAAGCAGAATTTGTCAATAAAAATAAATTAGAGGGTAATATTGAAAACAACCCGATGGTTTGTCAAATTACGATTCTTAGTAGGTTCAAATTGTGCATTCCTCTCTCATTTCCTCCGACGACTCGCATCTGATTAGTTTAGAAGGCACACCCTCTCGTTCGCTAGATTCGCCGCGAAACCCTAGCCACGTTCGAGGAAAAGAGCGAGGAGCATCTGCTTTTGCTAATACTTTTTCTTGTCAACCCTAGATTCAGTGCATCGTCTGATTTGAGAGAAATTAGAGCAATTTCTTCTTTTGTTTCTCTTTTATTGGCCCAACCTAGGCTTTAAGTTTGTGATCTGTAGATCTAGCTGGAGAAGCTCTAAGAATCGGCGTTTTTCTTCATCCATCCACATACCATCCTCCCCACCTTTGAATCCTAGGGTTTCTAGTCGTTTTTCGAGATTTAGCGGGGCTCTTTCGCTCCGAATATGACTCCCACGGCGACGGTATCTCAAGGAAGCGGGCCGCGTTATGCTCCTGAGGATCCGACACTTCCGAAGCCGTGGAAGGGTTTGGTCGATGGGAGCACAGGGTATCTCTATTACTGGAATCCTGTGACAAATGTGACGCAGTACGAAAGGCCTGCTGCGGAGGAAAAGCTGCCTCCGCCACCGCCAATTCCAAAGTCGGCGCCGCTTTCATCCGTTCAGGTTCATCAGCATCATCATGATGAAGACGGGAGATCTCGGAGCCATCAGGTACTATCTACTTGAATATCAAATTTGTAAGTAACTATAGATTCCTCCGTAGTGAACTGCTACTTGATTTTGTAAATATTTGGTTTCCTTTCTAATCTACAACTATATATATATATATATATATATAATCAATTACAACAAATGCATGAAACAATAATAATAACAAAAAAAGTTTAAGGCTTGCTGTACTCTTTATGTCAAGTATTATAAAGTGATACTTAGTTTATCCTTATCATGCACTATTTAATTAATAACTATAATAATTATTATAAAAGAAAATAACAAAAGAAAGAAAAGACAAAACATGTAATAATGACAGAGTACAGATTGAGTGGTTCCGTTTGCATGTGTAATATCTTGTGTAAAAGAATCGATAAGTTTAAACAATTAGGCTGTGGTTTAAGAAATGTAACTGAAATGTATAAACCTAGTTGCAATGATTATAAAAATCCTTCACCCGCACTTTATCTGATAGTGAATAAATCAAATTTCAGCATCAAGGAGTTAGAGTTAGTGGAGAACGTTCTGGACATGCTTCAGGTGATTTGGGACATGGATCTTCTGGCCCACATAGTCATGTTCACCTTTCAGTGCATTCAAGGACATCTATGAGAAATCATGGTTCTTCTGATGCTGGAGTGAGTTTATCTGCTGAAGCATATCGTCGCCAGAATGAAATAACTGTCACTGTAAGTTTTCTGCATAGATGCTAATCTTACTTTACATGCAATTGTGCATTTTTGTCATTCTGGACTCTGAATGTCTAGTAAATTTTTTATTTATGTTTGTTATGTTTGCAAAATAGAAGTTGTGTTGTAACATATGGTGTCAGAATTTTATTGGAGTGTTTGTTTTTTTTTTTTTTTTGCATTTGGGCACACATATGATTTTTCTCTAGATTGTCATAATACAAAATAATGTGTTTGCTAAATGAATCTTTGCCGTCTTTATTTATTTCATGTGTAGTGCTCATAATTATTTAGGTATAATTTGGTATGAATTTGTTGAATTTGGTGCCAAAATATGTTAAATCCATCATATGTGCTGTATTTGTTTTACTAACTTATCAATTTATTGATCATGTGGGGTATCTGCATGTGCAGTCTTTTTTATCTTTTGAAGTACTGGATACAAGCATTTTTATGGTACAAGTTGGTCTGCCCTTTGTTGAAATAACCCATTTCTGTTTTGGCGGCTGCTTTTTATTTTGATAATTTGTGATATGCGTAGTTTTTCTCATTGTTTTTTGTTCTAACTGTGATTAGTTCTGCATAAAAAATTGATATTTTAAATGTCAATTTCCTCGTTGGTTTTTAACAGATTTAAATATGGCTGTGAACAGAAAAATAAGTTAAGGATTTGAGGTATAAATGAGTTGATTGGCACAATATTTTTTTTTTTCCTTTTGGAGTTTTAACTTTGTTTTTATATTAATAAATTAACAAGAAGGTTTAAGTGGACAGATTTGGCATAATACATAATAATATGCAACTTAAAGAAAATTTTTGGAAATTACTTTTGGTAATTAATGTTATTAAGGGGAGATTTTGGATAGTTTCTTCATAGATTATTTTACGTATTACTACGACACTTGTGTTTGGCAGCAACCTTCTTGTGGTATTTAGAAATTTCTTTGGTTAGAATGATATTTTCACGAACTCTTTTGCTAGAGTGTTTAAGTTGTAAAAGAAGTTTTCTAAATTTTTATGGAGGAATAAAATCTATAATATTCAAAAAATCTTTTAAAAACCCTACTTCTCACCAGTGGCGGAACTAAGTTAGGCCAAGGGGGCAATTGCTACCCCTTTAAAAAAAAAACTTGAGTAGGCTTATTTATGTAATGTTGTTTTTGTTTGTGTTCCCCCCCCCCCCCCCCCCACTTTAACCCACTTATTTGCCCCCTTTTGACCTAGCCATGCGTCGCACACAGTCGGGGAAAAAAAAAAAACTCGCCTCCTGCACTCTTTGCACACGTTGGGACTCAATTCTAAAAAAATTTGATTCCTTCACACAAAATTTCTCCTCTTCCTTTCCTGTTCTTCGTGCTGCATTGAGTCCCGACGTTAGCCCATAGCCAGCGTTTTGCTCTTCAATCGGCCTTGCTCTTTAATCGGCCTTGCTCTTCTCCCGGCGCCCGAGTCCCGACATTAGGCTTCCAGCTTCCTTGAATCTCCAACAGTTAAGGTATAGAAAGCATATAATATCTTCTGACTTTTGCTTGAATCTCCAATTTGTGAACATAATAATCTCCATGGATTCCTTGAATCATTTTTTTTTTGTTGCCACAAACTATCATCTTCCATAAAAAAATGACTAGATAACTGCTTGGTATTAATTAGGATTTATGTAAAATATGATTTAGGAGTATGAGCAAAACTTTGAAGATCTATATTTATATTTCCTATTGCTTGAACCGGTCGGTTTTTGTCCAGATTAATTGTTGATTAAGCAATTTTGTTCTTTGATTTCAATGCGATATGTAGTTACGTGTTTCTTGGTCTCACAGATCACCTAAATAAATTAAGATTGAAACTGTAAAGTTAGCTAATCTATATATACATATATTTTATTTGTTTCTGCTTGTTTGGATTCTTACTGCTAGATTTGGTATATAAATATTAGTGCATGAATTAGTTTTTCCAGTTGTTTATAAAAGCAATGGCTATTTCTCCTTGTGCTAAAGCGCCTGCATGATTTTTAGAAATGGGGAAAGCTATTGGATCAACCTGAAGTGATATGATTTATAGAAATGCAAACAATATAAGTAAATAAAGAGAATAAAATAAAAAATAATTAGTTGATAAAATTAGTGATATGATTTTCTCTTAAATTTAGCAAATGGATCTTGTGCTGTTAAGTTTAATAGTTTAACATGCTGCTAGACTTGCTATATACTTAATGTTCAATTTGATCTGAAATATTTTTTTAGGAGTTAATAGATGAAACTTTATTTAAAGAGGAAAGAACATGTTTATATGAAAATTTTGCCCCCCCTAAAATGAAAGGTTGGTTCCGCCCCTGCTTCTCACAGTAGTCACAATTAATTTTATAAACAGCTGTATCCATCTCAGATGACCCTTAATTGCACTTATATTATATCTTATGTGATAGCTGATGTCCATGTCTTTGATAAATGTTTATTTTGATATGTTCAACTATACTGTTTGAGGGCATTGATAAGGTGACCGTCCCTTATCAGGTGAAATTGGCTGATATTGCTTAAATTAACTTAGTCTGATTTGGCATGGGCTGATGTTTGTTTTACCATGGATATGCTGGTTGGTGGCTTGATGGATGGATATTAGTTTTGGTATGCGCTTGATTTTTTTTTAGCAGTCAATATGTAGGGATTATGTGCGGCTCTAGGTAGGCTTTTGTTCAAAAAGCATGTCTACAGAAGTGCTGATCCTTTTACCGAATGATTTATGTTATATTGAGGTCTATTTGAGTTTTTATACTTCAGCATTGTGGATTTAGAGGATCTTCTTTAATGCATGCATATAAAAACTCAAATTCACTTTTCAATATAGAAAGGCAGAAATAAATTGTTGTCTTGATAGGTTGCATTTATATTCTCATGTTTTTTCATCCTCAGTTTATTCTCTTAAAGTAAGAAGTGGATTTAGTTTGACCTTCCCTTTTAAGTAGTTTATGTCTAATTTCCGAGATCATTAACAAGCTATATTTTTAATATTCATCAGGGAGATGATATTCCTGCTCCATACGTGACATTTGAGTCATCAGGTTTTCCACCTGAAATTTTGAAAGAGGTTTGTCTCACTGACATACTTTGAATTTTTTAAGGCTTTGTTTGCCAGCATTGCGTAATGTAAGTTTTTCAGTGCTTTTAACTTAGCTTGCATGATGTAATCTATATTCACTTGCAGGAGGTTCCATTTATACTTTCAGATGTATATACATTTATTTTTCTTTCCATTTTGTACTTCTTTGTAGCAGGTGCGATATTTGCTCCAGGGAGGAGCTAATGTCGTACTGTGATGTGTTTTGCTGCCCTCTTTTGTGAGGGCCGCATGTAGCTGGAGCAACCTTTATGGTGGACTGTTTTCTGGAAGGGCTTTCCAAGGTACCAGTTCTCTAGCTGCTGCCCTCTTTTGGGTGGCTCGCATGTAGCTGGAGTCCTTGTGGTGGACCAATTGTTGGGGCGCCTTCCAAGTCACCAGTCTTGTGGCTGGGCTGCTTCTGCGATTTGGTTCAAGCTGCCACTCAGGCAATCATGAAGGCCCTTTCTCCGGCTCCAGCTTGCATCTGCAAGCAGTTGTCTGCTCTCAGAGGATACACGTTTTCTGGCATTAGCTAAATCCTACAGTTAACTTCCAAATATGACAAGTATAGAAAACAGAACCAAGTGATTATAGAATTAAAGAATGGTACTCCTCATGGAGGGTGTGGGTTTTTGCTTTTCCAGGTACACCGTGCAGGTTTCTCTTTTCCTACTCCAATTCAGGCTCAGTCATGGCCCATTGCATTACAAAACCGTGATGTTGTAGCCATTGCAAAGACAGGCTCTGGGAAAACAATTGGTTATCTCTTTCCAGGGTTTGTACATCTTAAACGAGTTCATAACAACCCCAAAATGGGACCAACTGTGCTAGTTCTTTCACCAACCAGAGAACTAGCAACTCAGATACAAGATGAGGCTGAGAAGTTTGGGAGATCATCAAGAATTTCTTGCACGGTTAGTTCCCTCTATTCCTCCCTGTCTTTGCATTTATGCATGTTTGCTCATACGCATGCATTTTAATTGTGAACTTGCTTTTTGTTATTGTTTGGTGTGACGTGTATTTGTGTGTTTGTGGTGCTTTTGAGCCTTGTATTGGGATATATACGTCATAGTTGCTGTTTTTATTGTGCATTGTTTGAAAGCCCTTACACTGAGTCATGCTGGATATTATTTGTTCTTATGCTTCGTTTGCATTGAAATCTCCTATGCTTGATAGATATTACATTGATTATGACTTGTGTTTCAGTTAGCTATATTACGAATTTAAGATCATTTTTTCCTCTTAGCCCGTGCAAATGTGTATGACAGCTTTTAAGTCTGTGTAACTGTTATAAATCTGCATCATTTGTTGCTTAAAAACCCTCTTGATTGGAACTTGTTTACCCTATTTTCGTTGTGTAGCAGTTGCCAGATTTTATTTAACTCTTTAAAACATATGGATAAATTTGGTGATTAAATCCTTTTGGATTGAAACATGATTTGTGGTATTAGTTATTCTGAGGTTGCAATTTACATTTAGGTTCTCTTTTGTAGTAGCTTAGTAAGAATTTTTTTCTTTCCCTTCTTTCCCTAAAACAGCTTGGCTGCCATTTGACATTTAGAAATGGTTTCTTGCACTATATTTATAATTCACTTTTTATTTGAAATCTAATTAGTGCTTTAAAGTCTTAAGATGTATCTCCATGAAGTAGGGGCATGACATTACCATATATATGGCTAGCTAATATTGTGTAATTAAAACACAATATTAGCATTTTCTATTAAGTACAATATTATTTATTTCCCATAAAAGAGCATACTGATAGCAAAAAAAATTACATGATTAGTTACAATTAAATTTCAAAAAGTCATCAACATCAACATTTAGCCTTTATCTCAATACATGGGGTCAGCTACATGAATCTTTTTTCGATTGTCATGTTAAGAGTCAAATTTTCATTCAAATCTAATAAAAAATATTATTTCTAATATTTTCTATCCAAGTCTTTTTAGGTCTATCTCTACCTTTCTTAACATAGGTCAAATCTAATATATCTACTCTCCTAATCGGGTCATCGGAAGGACGAGATTTTATGTGACCAAACCATCTAAGGTTTTCTCTAATCATTTATCTGCCACTTGAGCTACTCCAACCTTTTCACGTATAGTCTCGTTTCGCATTCTGTCTCTAAGACAAGCCACTAATCCACCTGAGCATCCTCATCTCTGCAACACTTAATTTTATGCTTTTCTTTTAATGGCCAATACCACACCAATATTAGCATCCTCTATAGGATTATTATTAATTCATTTAGTAACTAATTTTGAAGTCATTCTCATATTCACAGTAAAAATACTTCAGAATAAAAAAAAAAAACTAAAGCTGCATTTAATAACATGGGTTTCTTAGTAAACTTAAAATATCATAATAACATCTTAATGAGAAAAGTTTCTACTTTGACAAGAAACGAACAAAAAATAAGAAATAATAATAGATTTGAAAATAGGGTTAAAGATGAAACTCAGAGAAGTTAGTGCTTTTAACATTTTTGCCATACCTGAGAGGTGAGAAAGAGCAGTATGTTTGGTAGAGCAGCTTTGACACTCTTCACGCACGGCAAAAGGGCGAGATATGAGACTTCCACTTATTGTGTGGTCCCGACAATATAGGACACATCTCTTGAGAATGTCAAAGAGTAACTCGTGCTGCTGAACAAAGAAGAATGAGTGCTAATTTTGTGTATTTTAAACAGTAATCAAGGAGAGTAAGGACTTGTGTGGTTGGAATGCTAATGCTGAAAATGGAGTGGAAGACAAAGTGAGGGTTATGGTAGTGAAAGATTTTTTTTTTTTAAGTAAATCTATCTGTTCTATAAACCAGACCATCGAACCTGAATGAGTACTAGGCTGCAAACCTTAAATCATGTCCATTATGCATTGCTCGTGTTGCTATCCTGTTGGGCCATGTTTGGCCAGTGTTCAACCCTAACTTTGGCTTGAAACATCTCCAATATAGGTTGTTAGACACATGTCGGGAGGCATGTCCAAGTTTAATAGCTGTCCAACATGTTAACAGCACAAACACAAAGACATTTTCATGTGTTTGTGCTTCCAGATGTAATCTCATTTGTACTGACCTTATCATTGACAATATCATGTTTCTGTGTTTATTTGTTAACATCTTATATGTTTTGATGAAGTGTTTATATGGAGGTGCCCCAAAAGTTTCACAATTAAGAGATTTAGATCGAGGAGTGGACATTGTGGTTGCAACTCCTGGAAGATTGAATGACATTTTGGAGATGAGAAGAGTCAGCTTACGTCAAGTCTCATATTTGGTTCTTGATGAAGCTGACCGTATGTTAGACATGGGATTTGAGCCTCAAATAAGGAAAATTGTCAAAGAAGTACCTCGTCGGCGTCAGACTCTCATGTTCACTGCTACTTGGCCTAAAGAAGTGAGGAAGATTGCTGCAGATTTGCTTGTTAACCCTATTCAGGTTAACATTGGAAATATAGATGAACTTGTTGCCAACAAAGCTATTACCCAGGTTTAGAATCAAATGTCCTCTAAGTGACCTAGTGGATCAGTTAATTATTGATCACTAATGCATTTTGTAATATCAATTAATCCTTTTTTCTTGTTTCTCTTATAGTATGTTGAATTGATAAGACCAGTCGAAAAGCAAAGGAGGTTGGAGCAAATACTGAGGTCTCAGGAATCGGGCTCTAAGATCATAATTTTCTGCACTACAAAGAGGATGTGTGACCAGTTAGCACGGTCTCTTATTCGTCAGTTTGGTGCTGCAGCTATTCATGGTGACAAATCACAGGTAGAGCGGGATAGGGTTCTGAGCCAATTCAGAACTGGGAGATCACCTATACTTGTCGCCACTGATGTTGCTGCTCGAGGATTAGACATTAAAGATATCAGGTACGGTGCAGTTGTTTAGTTTTGTTTTACAGTTGTAGAACATCTAAATTATTGCATGTTATATTTGTTTTAAGTATAATGTTATATTGTATCAGCTTGGCTTGCTGTTATCATCATCATCATCATCTCCTGATCTATGCATATCCTTGCAGGGTTGTGATTAACTATGACTTCCCCACTGGTGTTGAAGACTATGTTCATCGGATTGGGAGAACAGGAAGGGCAGGTGCCACTGGAATTTCTTACACATTCTTCTCTGATCAAGATTCTAAATATGCTTTGGAACTTGTTAAAGTTTTGGAAGGGGCGGATCAGCGAGTTCCACCAGAGCTCCGAGACATGGCAGCACGGGGTGGATATGGTGGCAAGTCAAGGCGCTGGGCTTCTGGTTCTAGTGGTCGTGATAGAGGCCGATTTGGTTCTGGTCGAATTGACTCCACCAATGTTGGGAGAACTGGGCATGTCCTATCAGCTTCAAGTAGGGTAGACACTGATAATAACCGCAGCAACTATGGACGTGATCGGGATGCTCGAGACAGGTATTTGCAGGCTCTACTTTTGTTCATAGCCACATAATATTCTTATTATCTTTGCATATGCATGGCCGCACGAGCATAGCTTTCATGAGCTGGTACTTCAGTTCATATTCTCATATTTAATCATGCATAATACACATGTATCCACACTTAGGAATCACCCAAGCACTGTCCACACGAACGCTCTTGCTGAATTACCCCCTGCTTGATATTGAATGTACTATAGACCAAATTTCTTTACCATGACAGTACAATATGTTGTTCTTCTGCATTTTTTTTCCAATTATGACTGGCTAGACAAGTTTAAGCAAATATTGAATGTACTAAAAGGATGTGCCCAAAGTACTAGCTACTTTTGAATTTACAGGGCGATCTATTATATATTATGGCTATTGCATCCTATTTAATAAATAGAAAGTGTAATTGAAGGTTAAAAAAATTAGTCCTTTTCATGTTTAAAGAAGTTCAATCAGAAGGATGGCAAATCGCCATAATATAGAAAAAATGTTCCAGTTCTTATTTGGCTTGCTGGTAATGATAGGAAAGAACTTTAGAAATGCTAGAATTTTACAATTTCTCCAACGCTCGTGCTACTCGTGCTACAGAAAAGAGTGATATTTGTTGGAGAGTTTTATGAAGAAGAACTGCCACACTTTGGGAATGCCATTCTCCTATTTAAATGCCATTTCCTTGATTTCTTCATTTGGTCTTTTTAAGAAATGATATTTTTCTTTCCTTTTTTTCTACATCTTCCTTTCTTCTATTAAATTTATGCTGCAACAATCACTACCCTAATGAACTGGACTTACAATTTTATCATATAATTAGAAGTGGTCGTTGCATGTAATCTAAGGCTGCAGAATGCCTACTCTCTTGCAGGCTTGGTTCGTTATGCAAAATTTATAATTCTGGTTTCCTATGTTTAATTAATAAGTATATACACTTATAAAGACTTCATGGTGTACCTCCATATCCATTTTAACTTATTTTTTATAATACCAACAGATCAGATCGTGTGGATCTGCATGCTGTTGATAAGCATGTCTATAATGATGCCAAAGGCATCTTAAGAGGCCGTAGTCATAGTCGCAGCCCTATCCGAAGCCCTAGCTCAAGCCCAAGCCCAAGAAAAGGAGAGGGTGTGTTTGGCAATGGTCAGAATCGGAGTCGCAGCAGGAGCTGGAATAATTCTCGCAGCCGTAGTAGGAGTCGTAGTCGTAGTCGCAGCATTGGACGCAGCAATGGCAGGCTTCCCGTTGCTGGGACTTCTGGCAGGCTATCACCACCGTCCAAGAGAAAGGAGATATCAGTTGACCATCATCATGGAGGACAATCACCACCACCACGGAAACGAAGGGAAACTTCGAGTGACCGTCACCATTGTTCACCTCCACCTCCTAGGAGGGAAACATCCATCGACCGTCATCGTGGTCATTCGCTGCCCAAGAAGAAAATATTCATTGATCATCTTCGCAGACAATCACCACCCAGGAGGGAAAATTTGATTGATCGTAACCGTAGGCCATCACCAGAGTCCAGAAGAGAAAATTTGATTGGTCATCACCGGAGACCATCACCACCATCCAATAGGCTAAATTCAGCTAATGATCGCAGCAGGACATCATCCCTACCCAACAAGAATGATATCCTAGTTGAGCATGGTCATGCCAAGGATGACTCACCAAGCCCACCAAGGCAAGGCTCTCAATCTCCATACATCCAAACAGAGAATGGAAGTAGAACTGAGTTGGATAGGTTGGAGCAGTTGAGGCGGTCTCCCTCGCAGCACCTTATTTGTGAAACTGAGCCTGATCGGCCGAGGACACCCGAGCATCCAAGTGGTGTAGAATCTGGGCAGCTTCTTGATGAACCTGTACGACTGGCATCAGCTCCAGCAAATGTGGATGAGGAAGAGGAAGGCTTAATTCCACCTGATGAAGAGGAAGGTTTGATTCCACCTGAACCAAATGCAGCTTCCCCTTATCATGTTCCTGATTCAAGGGACAACTGATGAGCATCAGGAAGTCTGCTTTCAAATGATTTTGTTGTATCGTAGAATGCATTTAAGCGGAACCTGCCTTACTTAATAACCTGTATTGTTTTTCACGTCTTGAGCAAGGATATACTATCTGATAATGCGTACATTTTTTAGGCCAAGCCTCGAGTCGTGGTTTTTATTGTTTCGGCTGCTTCATGCTATGAAACATATGAAGTTAAATATATTTAAAACTTATTCTATATAATTCAAGCTTTCTTTACCATGCATCGTTGCTATTTTGTATAACATTCGTGGATTTTGCAATTATCGGTTGATTGATTACCTACGGATGTGTCACTCTTTTTGTATATTGTTTAGGCTTGCAGTTTTCATTAATATCTTAATCACCGGCACCTAGCAACATACTTTTAAAGGGGATCTTTGAATTCCCGTTAGTTTAAAATGGTTGTATTTCTATGCGGAGCAATCATTCGTTCAATCTATTAAAAATGAAAAAAGATGCTTGAAGACTAATCGAGTGCAACTGCTGTTTGGAGGTCAATTAGGAGCCAGCATGTTATTGTGTATTGCGTGATGTGGCGGCTCTTGATTAGCGTCCGGACACGACGAGTTCGGCGTCGCATGCGGTAATTTTCCGTAGTTTTGACGTATTGGTTGCTGTGGATATTTGGTGAGATGATTGCTAGAGTAGTCATGCCATGGTAACCTTGCATGCGTATAATCATGTTGTTATGTTTTAGTCATTGTTTTGAAAATAAGACTGGACCGGCCAGTTCAACCATGAATCGGGGACCGGACCAGCTGGTTCGATCGGTTCAACCGTGAATCGGTCATAGTTTTGACGTATTGGTTTCTGTGGATATTTGGTGAGATGATTGCTAGAGTAGTCATGCCATGGTAACCTTGCATGCGTATAATCATGTTGTTATGTTTTAGTCATTGTTTTGAAAATAAGACTGGACCGGCCAGTTCAACCATGAATCGGGGACCGGACCAGCTGGTTCGATCGGTTCAACCGTGAATCGGTCTTATGGTCAGTTCAGTCCTCCTGAAGAACCGGTGTAGCAACGAACCGATCAAAATCGGTTTAAACCGTCAGTTCAACCGGCCACCTGTTGAATCGGTCCCGTTTCTTAAGAACTAGTCGTTTCAACCAGTGCTTTAAAAATCGGATCGTACCGGTTGGTCCGACCGGTTCAACTGTGAACCGGTTTGAGGTCCGATCTAGTCTAATCAGAAAATCGACTTTCCTTTAAACCAGCCGGTTTTGGGAAGAACCACCGGTTCAACCAGTGAACCGGCGAACCGGTCCCGATTTTTTAAAACCAGCCGGTTCAAGTTTTTATAATAATATTAGTTAAATAAATTATTTAATATTAAATAAATATTAAACTTAATCATAATTAATATAAATATTAATATAAAATTCTTAAATTAAATTAAAGATAATATTATTATAATTTCATCAATCTTATGTCTTTATTATTCCTTAAGAGCTTTTGTCATGAGAGAAAGCAAAAAAGTATATATACTATACAAAGCAAAACTTCTAACTGATTTGGGACTAAACATATAAAGTAAAGAGTCACCTTTAGTTCCATATTCAAACTATACAACCTACTTTTTTTTAATGATTTTAAATTAATTTTTATAATATCAATAATATTTATTTTTTTAGTTGATAATATTTATTTTTTTATATTTTTTCGTTTCGATTTTTTAAAATTATAAAATATTTAAGAATAAATTGTCATTATTATTATATTAATTTTCTTATTTTTAATAATATTATTTTTTATTACGTCACCCGGTTGGACTCCGGTTCATCCGGATGAACTGGTCGAACCATGAACCTCTTCTTCTTCTGGTTCGTTGTCCGGTCGGATTTTCACAACCTTGGTTTTTGTGCTGAGAGGAGAATGCTAGCTAGGCCTCAAAGAGGTATTAAATCCACATAAATTGTAGAATGTGAAAGATTTAGATTTTATTTGGGATATTTTTTTATGGTTTTTAAAGTAGTTTTTTAGGTTTCGTTTGAGATGGATTTTTAGTGCTGCTTAAAGTAGTTTTTAAGTATAATTTTTTTTACTAGAAAGTTGTTTTAATAAGCAGTAAAAAAGTTGTTCGGCTTCATTTGAGACTTATTATTATTTTCTTAAATAACTTTTTAGATCAAAAGTTTATCGAGTCAGAAATTTTTGTACTAAAAAATTATTTTAGAAACTAATAAAAAACTACCCCAAATAAAGCCTTAGTTTAAAAAAAAATTATACTAAAAATAATTTTAAATAGTAAAAAGACAGTAGTTCCAAATGATGTCTTAAATTGTTTAGTTTCTCCTTAACTAAAATTCGAATGCAGTAATAAATGACTATTAATGAAATTAAATTTCATGCGTTCTCACCGTTTTAAAAGTAGAATAGCAGTCTGTTGCTTTTCTCAGCACATCTATACTACTATATAAAAGTTATTTGGGATTCCTCTCAAATGCAATCCTAGTCTTCCATTTAATTTATCAAAGATGAATATTAACATTTCATTTTATTTATAAATTTAATTAACTTATTTATTAATTTCATTTATTCATTTAAATGGATGACTTTTTTCATTTTATTTACATTAATTGCATTTATGCTACAGTCAATTGGTACATTTTTTTTTGTTTTTTTGTTTTTTTTTTTGTTTTGGGAAGAACCGGGGCATAGCCATTTTATTAAGATGAAAAAGGGTACATAAAAAGACTTACAGGAAAACAAAGACTAACAAAGACAAAGGTTCAACTCAAACATAAACCTAACAAAGAGCCAAAACATAAACTTAAACATAACAATTCAACAACTACAAAACCAAAAACAGCAGCAGCAACAGCAAAAACAGCAAAGTGAACAAACAGCGCCGAGAGAACTCCCGCTCCAACCAGACTACAGAATAACTTAAATTTCAGTAGAAGTGAAATTTCTCAATGAGATGATGAAAATGCTTCCAGCTACATGTTTTGACCCGTATAGCGTTTTTTATAGTAATGATAATATTCTCCGGAGAATTCCATTTATTAGCAAATTTTCGATTATTCCTTTCTCTCCAAATATGGTACACGGTGCAGCCAATCGTAAGCCAGCAGAAGTTCTTTTCTCATTTGGACATAAGCAGCTGGTTATCCATGTAATCAAAAACCTGAATCAAATTTGGTCTAAGTAAGAAAGAGTTTAATTCTGGAATAAGCTTTTTAATGACATTAAAGGTAAAATCACAGTTAAAGTAAAGATGGTTGTGATCTTCCTGGGCATTGTTGCAAAGGAAGAAAACCGGATTGACCTGGATAGATTTTTTGATTAACAAATCAGCAACTTTCAGTTTCTACAGAATGGCCATCCAAGTTAGAATAGAATATCTAAGCGAGTAAGATTTATACCACACATACTTGTGCCAGGTCGCCTCCTCCAAATAAGCATAATAAGAATTCAAAAAATTTTTAAATTTCGGGTTTAAAGAGCCATCCCAAGCCAAAGCCGGTTGCTCTTTAATCTCAATGGCGCAAATAACATGTTTCATATTATCGGGTAAATAGTCTGGAAGGGCCCAAACATTATCCCTGATACAACTATTAACAGATATCCCAGTGAACCGCTGGTTTATCTGAAAAAATTCAGATAAAGTTTTTCCATTAATCCACAGATCCCAGCATAAAGAGAACTTGGATGTAGAATTAATATTGAAAGAGAAATGATTCTTTATTTTATAAGCAGTGGAACAAATAACTTTCCAAAATTTAGAGGCTTTTGCAACCGGAGGCTTCCAGGGGGAATAGTATTTGTTTTTGAACCAAGAGTAAATCAAACTATCCTGAGTAATCAAATTCCAAATGAAAGTGCAGTGATAACTATAATAACAAGCATCAATAGAAACAATACCTAAACCACCATTCTGCTTAGGGATAACAGTATTCTCCCAAGCAATCATATGCACTTTCTTACCATTAATGTCCCCATGGAATAAAAATTTTGAACATAACTTGTTGATAGTCTTACAAATGGCTTTAGGTATGATAGACCCTTTGATCCAATAGGCTAGAGTATTTGAAATAGTAAATTTAAGAAACTGAACTCTACCAGCTAAAGAAAGAAATCTCACCTTCCAGCCTTCAAGAAGAGAAATAATTTTATCTAACAGCACTTGAAAATGATTTGCTTTCAGCCTTTCTGGTGATATAGGAATCCCCAGATACGTAAGAAAACTACTCCTCTGAATAATACCCATAATGCTACAAAATTGTTCAGTATCAACAGTATTATTAGAAAAAATAATAGAGCTTTTAGTGGGATTGATGCTAAGTCCGGAAGAATCCGCAAAGTCAGTAAGAATGTTCATAAGGTTAGTAGCATTTTGAGCTTTTGCCATCCCAAAAACAAGAAGATCATCAGCGTACATAAGATGATTAAAATTCTTGCCATTAATATTAAAAACAGGATTATTATTCCCCAAAAAATTCGACGTGAGACTGCAAGAAAGAGCATCCATAACAATACAGAAAAGAAGGGGGGATAAAGGACACCCTTGTCTAAGGCCAGAGGAGGAGTTAAAAAAACCCCTCCAAGGACCCATTCAGGCAAATAAAAAAAATGCACATTAGAAATACAACAATTAATCCAATTAATAAACATGTCAGGAAAACCCTTTTGCCTCATCCTATTAATCAGAAATTTACGAGAAACAGTATCAAAAGCCTTCTTGATATCTAGTTTAGCACAAAAAAGATTGCTATTAAAATTAAACTCTCTAAGCACTTCCGATGCAAGCAAAATGTTGTCAGTAGTGCACCTGTTATGTATGAACCCAGCTTGGCTCTCGTGAATAATTAAAGGTAAGACCGTCTTCATACGATTAGCCAAAAGCTTAGCTATAATTTTATAAAAAACATTGCATAACGAGATATGCCTGTAATCATTTATATTAGAAGCATGCGGTCTTTTAGGAATAAGAGTAATGGCCGAAGCTTTAACCCCTTTGGGAAGATGACAAGAAGTGAAAAAACTTTTTAATAGCTTTGCATAACTTATGCCCAATGATATGCCAAGATTTTTTATAAAAATCAAACGTATAGCCATCAGGACCAGGCGCAGAGCAAGAGGAACCATTAAACACCACATTTTTAATATCTAAATCAGTAAACAACAAAGTTAAGGAATCAACCAAATTCGAGGGAATAATGTTGCCAACAGGAATATTGAAATCATTCTCATTAACAGATCTGGGAGAGTTAAA